CACTTTTAAAATAATTTAAATTAAAAATAATTTTATTAAAAAATCATAATTCACCCCAATTTTGTTTCAAACGGGTAAAACATTTTAATCTTCCAACTCTAGATTTCGGTCAAAATTTAGACAAGGAAAAAAGTGTTCTTATTTTTCTCTAAATAAAAAAAATAAAGTTTGTGGTTAGACGTGTAAGATAAACCATAATTCACTTTCTTCTCAAGGAGCATTGTCACATTTCCGTGTAGCGTAGAACACACTTTTCATAATTTTATTTAGTCCCAATTTAGCGGTAATACCCAAGTTCGATTCATAGCTACTGCGCTAAGAAGTACTAACTATACTAAAAATATGAACTTTACAAGTGTCATGTGCAAGTTACACTTTTTACGATGAATCTGCAATTAAAATTCAATTTATTGTTTCTTAGTGACCGTTCAACCGGGTCTGAAGAGGCGTTAGTATGGGTTCATACTTTCTTTTTTCTATATAAAGCATAATCTTCTGTTCAGTACAATCCACATATAGAGAGAGAGGGCCCTTGGGAAAGAGTCCAATCTAAAAGATCTTTCACGGGCCCCACGCACCTTTTATTGGCGTCGGTAACTGCAACTTCGCCGCCGGAGCGCCGGCAAATTCCTTTCTTCTCAATTGCGAAGTCCCTGCTTCCGGTTTACCTCATCGCCGTCACGCTTTCTCTCCGTTATTGTTCCTTGCCTGAACCTCACTCTTTCTTTCTCCTTCCTCCTTTTCTTCTTCATAACGGGAGGAATTTTTCATGTTTTCTCTGGCGGAATTGTAGCCGATTCTCGTCGCTCTGATCATCTCGTCGATGATTTGATGTTTCATGTTTGTGATTTAACTGGCGGATGATGATCGGAAAAAGCTTATTGAATTTTGTTTAGTTCCCCTGATTTTCTCTGTTGTTTGTTGTTCGGATAGAACATTTGTGGTGTCAAATCTGATAGGTAGAGCTGGCGTTCTGGTTTTGATTTGAAGGACTGCTTCGCGTTTCTGTCGATATTTACACTGTTCAGGTGTGACAGAGGATCGGAACTGCGATTTCTGCAACTCTGCAGAGAGAAATGACGGTGACGAAGATTGTGCCGATCGGTTCACAGGCTTACGGAGCAGCATGTGCTCGGAACGACTCCGGTAGGCCGATTTCGAAATCTCGATTCAAGAGACTCTTCGATTTCCCTAGCGTGCTACGGAATTCATCTGCGGCGGAGAAGCTCGCGCCTGCCGCCGTAGCTGGCGGCGAGGTTCCGTATGGTAAGGGAGGATTTTCAACTATAGTTGCCGAATTCGAGCCGAGCTCGATTTGCCTGACGAAAATGGTTCAGAATTTCATAGAGGAGAGCAATGAGAAGCAGACGCCTAAAGGCCTGAAATGCGGACGCAGCCGCTGCAATTGCTTCAACGGAAAAAGCGACGACAGCTCAGACGAAGAATTTGACTTCACTGACTTCCGGTCCGCCGATTATGTCCGAAATCCTTCCTTTTGTGCCGACTCGTCCGATTCTCTCAAGGTTCGTTCAATTTCCAATTCCAATATTTTATATTCACAAATCAATTTCACGATCAATCCTCCGATAGCTGATTGAATTTCCATTTTACAATTCAGAGTCTGGTTGTTTGCGCGAGCCCGGCGGAGAGAAACTTGTTAGCAGAAACCTCCAAAATCGCAGAGAAGAACAAAGCCTTCTTCAAGAGTAAAGAAGATTCCCGGAAAATCGTTGCCGACGGCCTCCGATCTCTAGGCTACACCGCCTCCATCTGCAGATCCAAATGGGAAAAGACCTCCAAAATCCCAGCAGGCGTCTACGAGTATATCGATGTAACAGTGGAAGGAGATAGAGTGTTGATCGATGTAGATTTCCGATCGGAGTTCGAGATCGCGAGGTCGACGGGAGGTTACAAGGCGGTTCTGCAGTCGCTGCCGTTCATTTTCGTCGGAAAACCCGACCGGCTTCTGCAGATCGTGTCGATCGCGTCGGAGGCGGCCAAGCTGAGCTTGAAGAAGAAGGGGATGCACATCCCGCCGTGGCGCAAGGCGGAGTACATGAAAGCCAAGTGGCTCAGCCCTTACACCCGCACTCCGCCGCCGCGAGCCGAGCCGGTAGCGGCTACGGGCGGGATCCAAGCGGAAGCCGGGAGCGAGTACGGAGATTTAGATCTGATTTTTGGAGAAAAGGAGATGTTCCTGGCTAAGAACGAGAATGCGACATCGGCTCTCTCGCCGCCGTCAAAGAAGCCGGAGGTGATAAAATGGCAACCGCCGGAGATAAAGCCAATAGGGGGTGAGAAAAGAAACGAGTTCGTAGCCACCGGGTTGGCTGCCCTCTTCAAGGAAAAGTCCTAAAAAAAAATATACGGAGTAAATAAATTATACGGAAATTGAAAATTCCAACATGATTTCTCGGTAATTTTTTCAAAAAAAAAAACATATGGGGAGAGAGATGTATGCAAGATAGTCGGAAACATTTTTACCACTTTAATTAAGTTAATTTTTTTGTGCCTTGTTTTTTTTGTTGCAAGTTGCAACTTGGAGGGTAATACTATCCACGATGTAAAGAACATATATTGTATTACTTTCATCATACAATACAATATATTGATTACAGGGTACATTTTAAAAATGTAGTCCTAAAATTCATGTAAAAAATATAGATCTTGTCATATATTTTCTATAAACTCATGCGTTAGATCTCTTTTACAAGGTTCATTATACACAATTTTTTATGTATCAAGATTTATAAAGAGACATGAGTTTAAGAATCACAAAAAAATTGTCTAAAATTCAATTTATAATCATTAATTTAATTTAAATAAATTAATACGAAGTAATAGAACAAGAAGTTAAGAATTACGTATTCAAAAACAGTGAATTTACAAGATCTAGAGGAGTAGTGTTTCATAGCATGTTCGACCTCATTTGCAAAACGATTGACTAATAGAGCAAACAAAAAGTTATCTAATAGCTTGAAAATAACATTAGAATCACTAATACTAAAGCCAAATTTGATTGATCGTATTTTATAAAATCACATTTCCATAACTTTTGTAGTTAATCGTGAATTTAACTTAGCATCTATCATTGCTCTTTGGTCCAAGCAAGAGTTTTCTCTTTTACGCATAGCTTTTGCTTCTCTAGGAGACTGGGACCATAGTTGCCTCCGAAATTGTTAGGTGTAAATAATTTCTAAACTCATCATGTAGAATCATCTCAATTCTATATGAAGTAAGCATGTGGCCAGATTTTTAAGGCGATCATAACTTGAGTTTGTTCAATCCTTAGCTTTCGAAAAGGATTGAACATTCTTAGGTGTGCCTCGTAATCCTTGTTCAATCATCTCAAAAAGCTTACTCATCAATGGAGCCTCGTGCTCTATAGCAAACATTCTTAGGTGTGCCTTGTAATACACCAAAAAGAGTAGCAATGTTTGCCACTTCTTGGCAAGAAGTTGAACTAGTGACAATTATCAGTATAATTATCTTAGATCATCTTGAGGCAATGAAACACCCTTCATGTCACCCCAAGCCTTCAAACAACTCAGAAACCTTCATCCTTAATGCATTTTTAAAAAACACCTTGGTCTACTAATCACCCCCTCGAACAACCATGCAAAGCACCAAAGCTGAATGATCTAATGAGTGCATGCCATAATTAAAACACACACATAAGGAAAAGGCTCATCCCGTCACCAGATATCATTGCCTTATCAAGCCCTCCTCAACCCAATTTTCAAAATCACAACCCCCCTCTCAGGTAAACGAGTACCACTCATTCTCAAAGCAAATAGTGTTAAGAGTATCCCACATCGGAAAAGTGTGAGAAAAATAATCGGTATATAAGTTCTTGAGTTAAACTAACTAATCGATTGGATTCAATCTTTTAATGTGATTCGACCCAAGTGTCTTATTACCCAATCCTGTTGTCCATACCCCATCCCAAATTCTATCATGGTATCGGAGCAGGTTTTGGCCCATCTCGTTTGTCAAGGTGTCCGTCTAGACGTTCATTCCTAGCGGCCAGTATGTCTTTAGCCCCGTTGTCCGTGTGGAGTTTGTATCCAACGGCCTGTGGCCCGTTTAACACGATTGCTCGTCTGAAAGTCCATACCCAGCGGCTCGCGGTCCTTTAGGTGTTGGCGCTCAAAAAAGTCAAGGGAATGAGAGTTTATTTACAAGTGGTCAACCGGTTAGATTCAAAATGGCCCGGTTGTCCACTTGAGGGGGAGTGTTAAGAGTATCCCACATCGGAAAAGTGTGAGAAAAATAATCGGTATATAAGTTCTTGAGTTAAACTAACTAATCGATTGGATTCAATCTTTTAATGTGATTCGACCCAAGTGTCTTATTACCCAATCCTGTTGTCTATACCCCATCCCAAATTCTATCAAATAGGATCACATTCGAACAAACGTCGAATTAAAATCCTTAGTTATGTGATAGAGATAAGGGCTCATCCCTCTTACATGGCGCTGCCACCTAGTGAATCGATGATCTTAGCCGCAATGTTAGAAGCAACTCCCACGACGTCAGCCTATGATCCCTCTCCGGATTGCCATAAAAACTTATGAATCTTCAGGGGCAACAATTTGAAAAAGACACCACGATATAAACATGAAATTTGGAATAATTGATAAGACTATCAGTGTGTCTCTCCCTTCAAAGAAAAGCAAACCCCCCACATTTCCCCAAACTACTGACGGCGAACAATATACCAAATCTTAACTTCAACCGAATGAATCAACACGCAATCAAATCATGTTACTTTTTATAAGAAAAATAAAATCAAATTTTTTGGTAGACGCAAGGTCCATCACACCTTCAACTGTCTGTCAGTTGCCTAACCCACGGTATATCGACCTACAATCTAACATTGTTTTTTCTAAATGGTCCTTTTTTGGGACACGTTATTATACGGATGGAGAAGATATGCAATGGCATTTGTGGGCTGTTCCAAACGTACTGGACTCCGCATTGGGTCCAATAGCGGTAGCACTTGTGTCTTCACGAAAGCCATACCTTGATGCCAAAGCCCATAATATTTAAACAGCGGCCCATAACCTTTTAATTGAATATGCCTTTTTCCGGGGACGACCCCAACTGAGGGAGAAAAATGCAGAAAAGAGATAATGGCAAGCAAGGCGGAGGACCTGGCGGCGGCTCCGCCCCTCCGGCGTCGAGGAGAGGTCGTCCGTTCGGCAGCGTCGCAAATAACCCCTCAACGTCCGGTGAAGCGGCTGCTGACGCAGTAGCACCTCCGACTCTCCTCGGTCCCTCCCTCCAAGTTCACTCCGCTTTCGCTGGTTAGTCCTCCGTAAACCCTAGCTTGATCGCATCTGCAGACGCACGTTCAATTATCATGTCCGCCGAATTTCATTTAGGCTGGGTTTGGTACATGGAATTCAAACTATTATGAAATTGGAATTAGGAACAACAATTCCAATTCTACCGTTTGGAGAATTCAATTCCATCCAAATCAATTTCATAGAATTTCAACTCCTAACTCATTTCCAATTCCATCAATTCCTTGTACCAAACGGACCCCTATTATTTTCCCATTATTTTGTTTAACAAGTGGAAGGTATAGTTCTGCTAGAACCCTAATTCTGCACAAAACATAGGGACTTGTTTTAAACACAGCTCTATTTTACATGAATTCATCTGTAAAGCTGTTTTTTTTTTCTGACTGTAAATAGCTTGACTTCTTAATTGGCTTCAGCTAAATGACATAGCTCCTCCTGAAGGTTGAATGGTGTAAGGACATATTTTAATAAAATTAGTATTTTTAATCTCATTTTGAAGACTTTAATTGTTTGGAAATAAATTGATCTTTAAAAACATGTGTGATGGCCAATACATGGTAGTATTGTACATAGGTTTAGGAAAGTGGTTTGCATCCTCGTATTAGTGACAAAAGAAGTCATTTTTTTGCTTGTTTGCTTCTTCATAATTCTTTAAAATTGCAATGCTGGTTATAGTTTATAAACTATCAGAATATGAGAAGGCTAAGGAAGCACTTATGTTCTTTGGATCCCATACTAATTATTACTTGGTCTGGATTCTATGTGATAATCAGAGCAGAATAATAAAAGGATTGTTCTATCTCTCCAAAGTGGTCTGAAGAGTGAGCTCACATGGGCATTGAATACTCTCACATTACTATCATTCAAAGAAAAGGATGATATTCGCAAAGATGCAACACCACTTGCCAAGATTCCTGGATTGCTCGATGCTTTACTTCAAGTTGTAAGTGTTATACTTCGTAAGTTACAATGTACATTTTACTACCCATTCCATCCCAGTTTTTTGGCTCACTTTTACAGGGCGCGATGATTAAAAAATTGAAAACTGTGTGGTTGAGATTCATGAACCACATAATGCTTTCTACAAACCAAAATGACTAATATAAATCTGGACCTACCAAATAACAGAACATTCAAGAAAAAATGGGATAAAGGGAGTTGTATGTATCAAAATTTTCAATAGATGTCCTACCATGGGGTCAATAAACAAATGCATGTAATGACTAATGATGCTCGCAGTCTGAGGGGCATAGTTGTGAAAAGCACGCCTCAGTTGAGATGCACCAAGGTTAGTGCATCAGCAGACATGATGCGCACGATGTTTGTGAGGTGCACACGTTAGTGCGCCTCATCACATTATGCGATGTTTAGTGATGTGCTAGAAGGCGTGCATTGTGAACATCTGAGTCATTATTTTAATTATTTAGGATAAGGTTTAGCTACTATCGTTATTTTTTATTCCGCCTCACCCTTAATGTCATCTTTATGACCCTCAACAAAAGAAGATTGAACAGCATACAACCATCTCCTTTGATAATCTCCCTTCCCTTTCTTCTCTCTGCTTCGACACTCTTCCATAACACTATTGCTTGGGGTTTAGCATGCACTGTTACACACCAATGGGTCGCAGACTCCAACCCTCCCAGTTAACGTATTTTCTTCTTCATCGTGTATTTTTATTCTAGGTTCTCTCTTTTTCTTCAAACATTATTTGGATGTACATAACATATTTTTTCTTCAAATAATTTAATCTATGTCTACCAGATATTTTTTTCACATCTGCAAACTGTTTTTTATAAAAAAAATTGTTTGTTAAGTGAATTTTTCAGATCTGTTTCTGCAAACACATTGTTCTAGTGTGGAAGAATCTTCAAACTCGTGTTCTTTGCGTTTTGTCTATGACTTTTGTTGCTCTTTGAATTTTTTGGTTTTTTATTTTGTTAATAGTACAATGTGTGACTTTTATTCCTGGTTGATTTCTAAAACTTTATTATGCTTTTTCAAAATTTTATATGTACTATTACTAATGTAGATATACTGTTTTACTAGCGCCTCAATTTGTGCCTTGTGTTCGTAATGCGCGCGCATCAAGTGCGCATCGCGCTTCGAGGCACTAGAGCCCTTTGGTGCATCAGTGAGCATCGCGCCTTAAATAACTACGACAGTAGCACAGTACCCCCGTCACAAGTCACAACCAATTACGACTCTCTTCCTCCCACCTATTACGGTAATTCTTTTCTTATTAATGAACTTGTATTTTCTACGCTGGTTTTTTCTTAGATGTACACTAGTTCTCTTTTTTTTCAAACTATTTTTTGATGTACAATACAAATTTTTTCTTCAGATATTTTTTTCTAGCAGATATTTTTTTACATTTTAATTCTGCTCTTTGAACTTTATGGTTTTTAATTTTGTCTATGCCTCATTGGTACAATGTGGGACTTTCATTCTTGATTGATTTCTAAAACTTTATTATTCTTTTAAAAGTTTTATATATACTATTACTACTGTAGATATACTACATATCTACTAATATCCAATTTGTGTATTGTGTTCGTGATGCGCGCGCATCAATCACGCATCAGGCATCGAGGCGCTAGAGCCCTTTAGTGCATCTGTGCGCATCACGCCTTAAATAACTATAGTCTCTCTACTAGGAAAGTAGGGATAAGGTCTGCGTACAAACACTACTTTCGTGGGATTCTACAGGGTTGTTGTTGTTGGTGGTGGGGGTGGTGGTGATGTCTCTACACATGAAAATGTTGGAGTTGTGTCCTGATGGCCAATTGTTTATCATTATTCTATCATGTATAGGCAGATATAATATGTTTACACATCTCATGCTAATGTAAACAAATATTATATTCCTAGATTTATATTTAAAAGATGTTTATCAGATAGTGTTTTTTCTGCTGATGAGACTAACATCTTGAAATAAATATTTATCTGAATGTCCATAGTCGAGTATTAACGAGAGTGAGATATCGTTAATGCATGTGAGACTAGTGTGTGTTGGATGTTTGACTTAGTCTCATAGTCAATGACGGTGTGTTCGCGTGCGCACATGGGCAGATATTATCTAGAGATAATAGGATGCCGGACTGACCCATCCTAAAGATGTTGCTTGAACTTTTAGTGCATCCTCTAAGCATCTTTAGTGCGACCACGGGTGTAACTATCCTTCAACTGGAAGAATTACGTTTTCTGCATATGTGAACCCGCATACTTTGATGCATCGTCCTAAGCCATATGAAATAAGGATGGTATACAGGCTTTGTTTTGGGTATGCCGAAGCGCGTATTCAGAAACGTAGATTACGTACATAGGATTTGTCACTACTCTTTTTAAGAGATTAATGTCTTATGGGGCCCACTGATAAGTTATGACTGAGGAAATTGCATGGCCATGCTGAGATGCTTTTATGACGTCTGTTCCTATTAGTCAGACTTGATAAATCAGTGAATGACTTAATGGATACAAGTTGAATTTTATTAATCCCTTGCATTAAGTTTAGACATTGAGACAAAGGGATACAGTTAGACGGAGTCTGAGTCGTGGAAAGGTTTTGACGGTGCAAACGTCTTAACTTATAATCTAGGGGCAATAATGTGTTGCTAGATACCGCTTATTGCTTATAGTATTGGTGCAGAGCCAATACTGTGGCTAGCTTTATAAGTGCCTATACGGGTCACACACTTTGAACAATTTAAGGAGTAGGATTAAACAATGGGATAATAAGTAATTTGTATATTTGTAAAATAGTAAAATAAAATATTTTGGAATATAATATTATATATATGTAAAACATTCGGTGATATATTTATATATATTAATACCGAAATATATATATATTATATGTTGAATATTTTATTTTGGTTTGTCATTTTAATTATGAAAATAATTATTTTGACATAAACTATTTAAAGTATATTTGTATACTTGTTTAAAATGATATGGGTATTTTTATTTGATTAAAAATTAATTTTATATTAATTTTTGGTGTCAAATAAAATACACTTTGAACATTTAAGTGGAGAAGAATTTAACAAATCCTTCTCAAATCAAATGTTCGGCCTTGATGAGATTGTAAGGAACAAAATTTTCTTAAGTTGACATGTGATACTAATAAAGACAAATTGCCTTTTGACTTTGTTTTTAAGGATGTTTGAAATTTAGTGTATTATTGATTATTAATAATTCACAACATTAAAAACATAAAAAGGGGTTTTGGGCTATGATTTTAGTGTGTGGTTTTTCGGCCAAAATTTCTAGTGAGAAAAATTTTATATTTGGTTCCATTAATATCATTTTGTGTATAGAAAATATTTATAATATTTTCTAAATATTATTAGAAATATTTTCTATTGAAATATACAAGATTATTATTATCCCAATTTTAATCTTTATATTTTATACTACTATAATCTTTACTAGCATAAAGATTGTGGTAGACTTCGGCGTTGTTCGTGTGTCAAAGTTGGAGACCGGACGCTTGAACGGTTACGTTTGCACTTTCAACGCTCTTCCTACGACCTCTTCGTTTTTACCGCTTACGGAGAAAGGTATAAATTTCTTACTCATTATAAGTTTTAGTACGTGATTCTGGGCAATATAATCATGTTAAGATGTTAAAATTTTTATATTCCGTTGTCTATCCTTGCATGGTTACCTTTCAGAAAAGCAATAAGAAAATGGATGGATGGGAATATGGGATACACCATTAATGGATGGATTGGATCGATTTTATCAAATGGAGCATGTGTATATTTTGATTTTGAATGATTTTTCAATGGACCATAGATAAATGAATAAATGGAATGTTTTGAATTCATCCATTATAATCTGAAGAGAATTCCATCCAGTACATCAGTTGACATCCCTATTCGATCTTCAAACAGATAGATGATTGGCGTGACATATCCCTTCCAAAGGTTATTGTAAAGGCGCACAATGTAATTTTGAGATCAGATGATCCAGTTCCCCATCCCAGGTAATTTTGCTCAATTGCACTTGAATCCTATAACTTTAACGGAGTATTTTTTTTCTTGTCATTGGAAATATCAAAATGCAGTGTGGATGATTCTTCCACTGCAGTTCAGGCTCAGGTATTTCCAACAAAGAGGCATCTGCTCAAAATGCTATGACCAAATCCCGGTCATCTGGTCGGTGGTTTGAAAAAGATGGCTTGTTTAATTTGGATGAGGAAGGGCATTCTGAAAAGCAATTGTACGCTGTCGCTGCTTCTAATATTATCCGCAACTTCTCTTTCATGCCCGATAATGTAGTAATCATGGCTCAACACCGACGTTGTTTGGAAACCCTATTTCAGTGTATGGAGGATTATGCTACAGGTGGGACAATAATTATCGCTTTGTTTTAGCCTTTATTGTGAATGTGGTGGCATTGTGGCCTTATATGCCCCTTGATTTGTTATTTCATTTGTAATTTGTTATTTCGATTTCTGTTTGCAATTTAAAGTGCTTCATGATGTTTTTCTTAACAGAGGATGAAGAGCTGGTGACGAATGCCCTGGAGGCAATTGTGAACTTAGCCCACTTGTTAGATCTTCGAATATTCAGCTCTTCAAAGCCTTCCTTCCTCACGATGACGTATGTACTTACTAGGCTAGCTTCATGAAATCTCCCCATAAAATCTTATCTGTTGAATCCCATGCGCTGGTTTTTCTATCTAGGGAAAACCGTGCTGTGCTTGCCATAAAGGGATTGCTCGACTCTGCTGTCCAGGCCTGGCATTGTGCAGCTGCCGAGTTAATTAGCCGTCTGATAATAAATTCTGATAACGAGCCATTTCTTCTTCCATTTGCTGCACAGGTTCACTAAACTTTCATCTTTTCGGTTAACTAAGCTAAGAGTCTAAAACTGAATGCATATAAAAAAAAAAGATATTACTAAATCAGTTTATTATGTTTGCAGATATACACACGCTTAGTTGATCTTTTGAGCTTCCCAACAACTGATGCTCAAGCAGCTGCTGTCGGGGTATTATACAACCTTACAGAAATCAATTCAGATTGCCGCCAGAAGCTTGCCACTGAACGATGGTGAGAAAGTATCAAGTCTCTTTATCTTTTATGGGTTACATTTTGTCTTTATCCACCTGATTGTGGTAAGTACTCTTTGATATAAATATAGGGCCATTGATCGGTTGTTGAAGGTGATCAAGGCTCCTCATCCTGTCCCAGAAATTTGCCGGAAAGCAGCTTTGGTTTTGGAGAGCCTTGTGTCGGAGCCACAAAACAAAACTCTTCTCCTTGGGTACGAACATGCCTTCACCGAGATGCTTTTTGGCGAACCAAAGTATTCCGACATATTTGCAAGGATTCTGTACGAACTAACGTCACGTCCAAGCAATAAAATCACAACGGCTCGAGGTATTTGGGGCATGTAAGTAGCAATATTCTCTGGCTTGACACCTCTGCTAAATTAAACATCATTTAACATGCATTTACATTGTTAAACGTAACTCTGTTTTGTCAAATCTCTAGGGCCTACTTAGGTAGTTTGTGTTTTGATGCTAACCAGTTAAGGTCTTCTTGTACCAAAAATATATTGTACCATTAGATTATTATTTCTTCTAGCTAGGTGTTGACTATTATGGAATCTTCATTATTGTATTTCACACCTGAACCTAATTCACACCTAGTTTCTCTAACAAATGCCTGCGTAGGGCATCCACCGTCTCAACAAAATAGACCTTTTGACCCCCTATAATTAAATTTCACAAGATAGATATCTGCAAGTACCATGTCAAGGTGGGCGTTGCGCAGTTGGCAAGGCAACATGTGCCAAAGACGTAACACCCGAGTTTGATTTCTGGTAACTACCCCGGGAGGCTACTATGCTAAGCATAAAGCCTCTGCAAGTACAAGGTGCAAGCTTCACTCTTTCCTACCAATCTGTTTTTAAAACCAAATTTACCTCGTCTCAGGTGAGCGTTCGACCGGTTCTGAAAGGCCCTCAAGATGAGGTTCATCCTTTCACTAGACAACCTTGTTTGGCCTTCTCCATTTTTCCACTAGGTGTGCATCTTTTTCTTCGATATGCCTATGTGACAAACGTACAGAACTAAAATTTGTATCTCGGGGTCGAGATACAACTCCACGTACTCCATCCGTACTAAAATATCCCCCGCATACCATTTTACAGAAAAAGGCGTGGTGTACACACCATCATGTACCGTCATACTTCATTAATCTCAATCTTTTGTTAGAAAATCAGCGAATCACGTTGTCCATTCGAGTTTCTAGCTATGTGCCTGACATGGGGGAATGGGTTCATAACTAGACCTGGCAAAACCGACTCGAACCCGATAACCCGAACCGAATAACCCGGAATCGAACACCCGAAATGATCCGAACCGAATCGAACCCGAACTGAATGTATTTAGACCCGAATCCGATTAAACCCGAACCCGGTTAAACCCAAACTGATTAGACCCGAACCTGATTAGACCCGAAATTGATCAAATTCATTAATATTTCATTTATCAAATGAATTTGGAGAAAACGAATTACCTATATATTTTTACATATGCTGATGTGTTTCTAAAAAAACATATTTAAATTATGGGTGCAAATCATGTAACTACTTTCATGTACAAATCTTTTACTTCGCGTTTTATAACTTAAGTTAAAATACATTTGTATTTTTATAGAAAGTATATAAAAATTATAGTTAACTAAATTAACTAAATTTATTATGTGATTTATTCATTTATTAGTATGTATGTGTTTACATTATACTTGAACTAATATAAATTTAAACCGATATAAACTAAAATCTATATAAACCGAAATCAATACAACCCGAAATGATACAAACCTGAACCGATATAACCCGAACCGATATAAACCCGAATCGATATAAATCTAAACCGAAACCGAACCGAAACCGAAAACCAATCAAACCGAAATAAATCCGGAATTGACCCGATCTGACCTGATTATAACATATATCCGAAAGAGACCCGAACCGAAAAGACTCAAACCAGAATCGAACTGATTGACCCGATTACCAAGTCTATAATTATAACCCACAAGTTTGCTTTTGGAGGCTTTATCTTTTGATTTGGAATATATCGAGTTGACCATTTTCGGGAAAAAAGTTGTGTGATCCATGTTTTCTTTCCATTTTCAAATAAGTGCAATCATAAATCAACTACAACCGGTGAGTTTCATTTATTAATGACCGTGTCATGTCATATCAACTTTGAAAGATCATTTTAGTACTCACTCCGTTCCTAAATATTTGCCACACATTTCCGAGGTAAAATATCTAGTTTTTTCAATTCATTTTATTTACATATCGGTATAGAAATAAAAAATAAAATTTATATATAAAAAACTACATGAAAAGTTCTTCGAAATAAGAGGTGTCGAGAATATTTTATTTTATCAAATAACCAATGAAAACGTAGAAATAAACAAAAGTTTCCGCAACTGCTGAAAAAGCAAATGTTATAAATATTTTGAGACGGAGGGAGTATATAATTACTCTCCCCATCTCATAAAAAAATTTAATATTGACTTTACGGAAAATAAGAAAAATGGTGAAAAGTGTTGTTAAAAGTTAAAACTCATTTTTGAGAAAAAAAAATGTAATCCACTAGACAAGAAAACAGCCAGCCACCTAGAGAGATCTCATGAGATCAGCTTCTATGAAAAAATGAGCTCATGAGATCTGCTCCTAAGTGGTTGGTTGTACTCCGTATTAATTAATAAAATGAAACTCATCCTAGGTCTTTCTAGAATTGGTCAGACCGTTATCTCGGAGAAGATGAGTTGAGCTACAATATCTATCAGCCTTAGTCCGAAAAATAAAGATCCTGATTTGTCTTCGAAATGTGTATAGGCCAATGCTACATGACCCACTTTCGTCATCATCGTTATTGCAACTTACTTTCTCGGTTTTAATTCGAGTTGTCTGTTTTTTATTCACAGAAAATAACCTTAGTCAAACCACGTAAACGACGACAGACGATTTAAATTGGAACTTCGTCATCAATTACCCAATTTGCACATTTTTTTCCCTTTTTGGGTCATAAGTGGCCGGTTGTTATAGTTATGCTAGTAGATGATTTGCATGGCTGGCAGATGCACATGTTGAGAGACACCATACTTAATGCATGATGCCCCATGCCCATCTCTCATATGATTTTACAGGATACCCCCTGCCTTTATCATCTTAACCCCTACCGTATCTTGGTATTTAGTTTCATTACAACCATATTACTACGTCCTCTTCCCACAAATACAGGGGGACGGAGGGAGTAATACTCATTGTTATTGAATGTATGTGAAGTAGGTACATCCAAAAATACGGTATAATTCATCGACTAGCCAGAGACAAATGTTTGAAAGATCAAAGAAAGATTTTTGGACGTATAAATTTAATATTGCCTTCTTTGTAACAACGTGGGGTACGTACGTATAACGGTACAATCACCAAACTAAACAAACTTTCTCCTATAAAATACAAATGCCAATCAATACATAGTAACAAATTAATTTAAGACATGTTGGTATTGTTTTCTCCCTTTCTCACCTTTTAAGTGCCTACTTGACTTTTTTTTGATACAAGTAAAAATTAACAAACTTGTACATAATTTATGTCAGTTTCATTTAATTTTCAAATGTATCAAAAGAGGCTATATTTAGATCTCAACCAATATAATTGAATGAGGCGTTAGTTTATGGTTGCAACTCTAGGGACTTGGACAGGGAATTCATGAATCTCCTCCATCCAAGGGTTCTTGATCTTGGCCGGATCGACGGTCCTCAACGCACGCCAAACCGCGCTGTTACATTTGAACCCCGAACCAAACGCGATTTGCCATGTCCGATCTCCCTTTCTAATCCTCCCATTTGCCTCGGAATAAGCCAATTCGTACCACAACGAGCTACTTGACGTGTTCCCAAACCGGTACAACGTCATTCTAGAAGGCTCCATGTGCCACTCGCTGAGCTCGAGATTCTTCTCGAGCTCGTCGAGCACCGCTCTGCCTCCTGCGTGGATGCAGAAGTGCTCGAACGCCATCTTGAAGTCCGGAATGTAGGGCTTGATCTTCATCTTCAACACCTACACAAAAGAAAGATGTATTTATTACTTTGAATAATTATTTCCTATGATTTGTACATAGTTACCATTTTGTAACAATTTTTTATTTTAAGGCCCGTTCAAGAATTATTAAAGTCTTAAGTAATTTATTTGTACCTTTCGCGCTACGAGCGTGGCGAAGAAGAGGAGTTGCTCCGACATCGGGAGGACGAGCGGTCCGAGCGTCGTGATGTTCGTCTTCAATGCCTCTCCCGCCACCGACATTAGGTCTTTCGAGAGTGCCACGCCGACCTCCTTCTTGTCGTCTTCCTCCTGGAAGACGCAGGAGTAGCTACGGTCGTCTGCACCCTTGTGGGTCCGAATGGTGTGGATGAGCTGATACTTTGACCTCCGGCGGTCCGAGGAGCGGTTCGAGAGGAGGACGGCGGCGCCGCCCATCCGGAATATGCAGTTTGAGACTAGCATTGATCGGTTGTTTCCAAAGTACCAATTGAGAGTTATGTTCTCCATGCTCACTACTAGGGCATAAGAGTTTGGGTGCACCTGTTACAAAAAAAATCAACCTTTTAGTGCTCACTCTTGACAATTAAACATGTTGGTAGTCAAAATATTGGTGAAAGATAATGTGAATTTTTTTTAAATTTGACAATGCTAGCTAAAAATGACCCAAAAATGATTCAAGTATTTTGGGATATGTATCGTATTTCATTGGTTAAATTAATAGTTTTTACTCTTAGCCAGAGGTGATATTTTGTTCACTTTTAAAGTACAATAATGTTGGCACGCGAATTTTCGCCACTTTTTCATGCAACAATAATGATAAGAATTTAGTGTAACATCCAAAAAAATGTTAAACTATAGTAAAGCTGGTAAGAATTTAAAGCTCTTACAACAAGTTGGGACTGAATTGAACATTACAATTGTAAAGATGGAGTACGAGTTATTCAAAAAAAAAAAGTAAACCCTTAAAATGCGTTTTTAATTTAGAAAACTACTTTTTCAGTCCCAATTTGAATTGTACTTTTGTTATTTACGTAGCTTGACTAAAAAAAATTTGAATTCATTTTATTTAAAAATTGATGTCAAATTAAAAAAAAAAAATTATATATTTAAAAATTATATGAGAAATTCTACCGAACTAGAGATGACATGATTATATTATTTGATGGTAGAGAAAATGATTAAAATTTGACCCTATAAATAGTAAACATGCAACTTAAATTGGGACGAATGGAGTATTCTTTTCACATTACTTTGATATATGTAATTATATAATTCATTGTCTATATATATATATATATATATATATATATATATATATATATATATATATATAGGGCTATATTTTATGTATAGCAAGTTGTACACAACACGATGTTTTTGTTCACCCTGGTAAGTATTTGCATTCACAACAAGAAAGCCAATGGTGTACAAAAGAAAGTTTTTCCCAAATAAAAATAATTGATGCCTGTTTGGGAACAACGTCTAGTTTTATCGTTTTGAAAAAATTATGTAATTATAAGTTGTAACGCTTAACTTTAACGTTTTTAAAGTCAATCTGTATATATAGTTAAAAAACTTATCTGAAACGCTGGTGCGAAAAAAAAAGACGTTGCCAAACAAGGAAGGAGTGAAGCAAACCTGTAGGAGCTGTTTGGCAAGATGAATTGAAATGAGGCCAGCACTGCAGCCCATGCCACCAAGGTTATAGCTTTGGATGTTTCCCCTAAGCTTGTAGTGGTTAACAATCATGGAAGACAGTGATGGGGTTGGGTTAAACAAACTGCAGTTAACCACAAGTATCCCAATATCCTTAGCCTTAACCCCAGTCTTACCCAGCAACTCATCAATGGCACCAAACATGACCATTTCAGCCTCCTTCCTTGCCTCAGCCATGCAAGGGTTTGCAGGAACCCTAAGAAGTGCCTCTGGGAAATATGTCTTTTCACCCAAACCAGACCTCTCCAATATCTTCTTCTGGAAGGACAGGTTCTCCTCTGTGAATATATTGGCTTGTTTTGACCTCTCCATGAAGGTGCTTTTGGGGCACATGACCTCCTTGGGTGGCTTGTAACACTCAAAGTCCACCATGTACACCTTCCGAGGCCTCGTCGTGAAGTAGAGCGTCCCCAGGAAGACGGCGAGCGTGGAGCACGCGACGACCGTGACGAGGTTGAACCTCAGGTGGGCCCACAGCTGGGCCAGGTCGTCCGCGGTGAGCGTGGAGAGGTGGGCCGATACGGCCCCGAGAAGCGGGACCAGCAACAAGTACATGAAGTGGGTGACCAGGTAGTGGTACCCCAGCTTCACGTACTTGAGCCTCACCGACGAGAGGAAGTTCGGGAGGTCCCCGCTTCCTCCCGTCTTCCCCTCTTCGGCGACGCGATGATTCTCCCCCATTGCCGGTGTAACACAACCCACAAAAGGCAAACAAGAAGGGTAAATTTGGAAGAGAAAAAAAGAAACTAGCTAGAAAGTATATATAACAATGAAGGATGAAGTAGAGAGAGGTAATTAAGTGTTGAATTGGAATGGGAATGGGGGGAGGCGATTGTCTGAGTATTTATAGAGGGTGGGAAAGGTGATTACTTCTCTCTATCTGTCTCATTAAAAATAGTTCACACTTTATTTTTTGTTCATTTTGAAATACCTCCTCCCTTCGACAAAAAAAAATTCTCGTTTACTATTCGGAAGTATGGGCAAACTTTATTCACTTTGTTGGCCTATTTTTGTGTCCTATTTGATAAAATAATATAGTCATGTCACAGATCTTTCCATGTAGTTTTTAAATATGAAATTTTATTTTTTAATTTCATACCATTTTTCATATAAATTGATTTAATTTGAAAATAACTTCAGTCAAACATAGTAACGCGCAATAGAAACTTTATTTATAGACGGAGGGAGTAATTTTTTTTTCTTTTCGTTTTTGGAGGAGGGTATATATATATATATGGTCTAAAATCATAAATTTAATCATACATTTTTAATGTATAAAAAATAATATACTCCCTCCGTCTTTATTTTGATTACAATTTTTTCTTTTCTCCTCTCGATAACTTTTTTTTATTTACGCGATTTCATTAAGTATTTGATAAAATAAAATATTCTTGTCACATCTTGTTTTGTAAAACTTTTGATGTAGTTTTTTAATATTAAATTTTTTTATCTTATTGATATACCAATTTGTAAATAAAATGATTTCAAAAAATGAAAAATTTGTTCTCGTAACCCACAATTTGTAATCAAATTGAGGATGAAGTGAGCATTTAATACCTGTGATGAGAAAACTACTCCCTCCGTCCCTAAATATTTGTCACACTTGTATTCCCGAGGCAAAATATCAAGTTTTTTCAATTCATATTATTTACATATTGGTATAAAAATAAAAAAATAAAATTTACATATCAAAAAACTAAATGAAAAGTTCTTCGAAATAAGAGGTATTAAGAATATTTTATTTTATCAAATAACTAATGAAAACGTAGAAATAAACAAAAATTCCTTCGACTGCTGAAAAAGCAAACGTTGCAAATAATTTGGGACGAAGGGAGTAATTAATTTGGGAGGGGGAAATTGGGAGAAAGACCAAAGTAGGACTAAAACTTTGAATATATACCAAAATAGAACTTCCATGTTTTTATTCTCGAAATAGGACTTACATTACGAACCATGGTCATATACATTACCAAAAAAACATAGTAATTTGCACATGTACACTGCCACATTATCACAATGCAAGGTCACATTGCCACAGTGTAAAGTCCTATCCCGAAAAAAAAATATGAAAGTCCTATTTTAGTACTTTTATTTATGTTTTAGTCCTATTTAGGAATGATTTATAGGGGCAATTTAGGCGCGTGTAGAATGAGGGAAGGGGGGCGGCGTTGTGGGGGGAGGGACAACTACCCCCAACGAACTCTTCTTAATGGGCAACTAAAACACACGGCTAAGGCATTCAAACTTGTGTTTGTCCACAAGCGGGAAAATGAGGGCAGGGGAGCGTCACGGCTTTCCGCATTCTTCGGTGGGGGTAGATCCAACTAAACCCAATGGGATGCCCTGAGTCACTGCTTATTTAAAATAAAAAAAAAAGACAAGTCTTACCCATGAAGACTGCCTCAGAATCGGCCAGACCGTTAGTGAAAGGAAGTAATTTAGACTTTAATTGTGGATTGATAGTGATGGGGAATAACCCCACACCAGCCTAGGGCTGACATCAGCATAAATTTCCTAAGTGTCGGGCTTGGACGTTCCTGCCCGGCCCAGAGCTCCGCTCGTCCTTCCTGCCCGGCTCTGCGCTCCGCTCGTCCGTCCTGCTCGGTTCTGCGCTCCGCTCGTCCGTCCTGCTCGGCTCGGCCATCCAAGCCGAGCCCGAACCCCGCGACAACGACGTGCGGAAAGCGACGTTCAACGAAGACTTGGTGAAAGCGATAGGATGAAAGGGACAAGACGTAAGGACAGGTGACGTCCGCTAGACGACGGGCATCGATTAGAGAGCTTTGACTTAGCTTATTTTACCCCCTATAAAA